GGTGGTACAGGGACACGTGCCACGCCATTTCGGTGTTCACACTCACACAGGGACAGGTGCTGCACTGTCAGGTGTGTACAGTTGTACGGGGACACGTGCCACGCCATTGGGGTGTACGTGCTCATACAGGGGACACATGCCATGCCAGCGGGTGTACGTGGTTGTACAGGGACACGTGCCACGCCGTCAAGGTGTGCAAGCTCTTGCAAAGGACACGTGCCGTGCCACCAGGCGTGCATGGTCATACGGGGACACGTGCCACGCCATTGGGGTGTTCACACTCGGACAGGGACAGGTGCTGCACCATCGGGGTGCGTGTGGTGGTACGGGGACACGTGCCATGCCGTCAGGTGGGCATGGTCATACGTGGACAGGTGCCACGCCGTCGAGGTGTTCACACTCACCCAGGGACAGGTGCTGCACCGTCAAGGTGCGCGTGGTCATACGGGGGACACGGATGTACACACTCGTATGGGGAACACGTGCCATGCCGTCGGGTGTCGCTCGTACAGGGACAGGCGCCACGCCATAGGGGTGTTCACACTCGGACAGGGCCAGGTGCTGCACCATCGGGGTGTGCGTGGTCGTATGGGGACACGTGCCACGCTGTTGGGGTGTTCAGACTCGCACAGGGACAGGTGCTGCGCCATCGGGGTGTGCGTGGTGGTACAGGGGACACGTGCCATGCGGTTTTGTGTGCATGGTTGTACAGGGGACACGTGCCACGCCGTTGGGATGTGCACGGTCGCACAAGAAATGCGCGCACATGACATGCTGTCGGGTACGCGTGGTCATAAGGGGACACGTGCCACGCCGTCAGGGTGAGTTGGGGTGTGGATGGTCATACGAGGGGGACACGTGCCATGCCGTTGGGGTGTGTGAGCTTGCACAGGGATGCATGCATCGCCACCGGGGTGTGCACACTCGCACAGGGACACGTCCCATGCCGTCAGTGCGTGCACGCTCCCTTGGGGTCACGTGCTGCAGCACTGGGCCGTGTGCTCCCGCTCGGGGACACGTGCCATGCTGTCAGGGTGTGTGCCCTTGCACAGTGAGCGTGCCACGCTGTCGGGGTGCGCCTGCTCGCCATGCCACACCGACGGGGTGACCATGCCACCTCTGAGAGGCACCAGGGCCGAGGCAGGGCCTCGGTGTCACCTTCCCAGCCGGGTCACGCTGCAAAACCACGCTGGCCTTTGCCGCGGTGGCGTCCCCAAGCACCTGGCAGGAACAAGGCTGCCAGGACGCGTCCCTGGCCCGCGTCAACCTTTTGCCGTCCCGCTCCCAGGCTTGTTTTGAGGCTTCAACCCACGGCAGCGGGTGATGCCACCGGTCTGAGTGTCACCTCAGTGGCAGCGTCCCCCATCATCGTCCCGCTCCCCAGCTGGTGAGATCTGATGAGGGCTGCGCGCCAGGAGTGGATGCGTTATCTCTCGTGGCTTTAAAATAGGGCAGAGCTCATGTCACTGCGCCGCCGGCGCTGGCAGGGGACAGGGACGTCCCCAGGGGCGTCTCACGGGGTGGCCGTGCCATGGCGTGGATGGTTCCGGCCACATTGTCCCACGCCAGCCGGGGGAGCTGGCAGGGTGGCAGGGACCCCGGTGGGGTCCCACCACCGGGACCCTCAGTGTCACCCCATGGGACTCAATGGCAGGGAGGTGACAACCTGGTGGCTTTGCCACCATCACTTCTGGGGGGGTCTGGAGCTCTCGGCAGCACCGGCGAGGGACGGAGGTGCCGGCACAACGTTCCCAGGCAGCACCGCGCCGGCTGAGCCCAGAAGCCACCCAACAGGCTCTGCCAGCCCGCAGCCGAAAAAAGGGCGGGCCCCGGCGGGGGCGGCTGCCGGCACCGGCCCGGTGAGCGCCGCACCGGGATGGGACGCCGGCACCGGGTGGGTGCAAGGGGGAATACTGGGTGGGGAGGAGGGATGCTGAGAACCGGCAAACTCAATACACCCTGGCTTTGGTTGCACCGATGCCGGGGGAGGGGGCGGGTGGCGGCAGGATTTGGCTCGTGTTTTTGGCACGGTCTGGTTATCCGTGATGTTTGAAACCAAACG